GAGAGAGAGAGAGAGAGAGAGAGAGAGAGAGAGAGAGAGAGATGTCACTATTTACATCCATAGTTTTTATATATTCATCGCACTTTATATCCATATCTATTAAAATACTGAAAAAATTAATATTTTCATCCACTTCAAATTTTAATATTGTCCTTATTAAATTCATTAATTTAAACATTATAAATCTACACAAATTTTATATATTCATCACACTCTAAATATATTCCTAATACAATTTCATAAATTTTAAAAATCACTATATTCATCCAATCATTATAAACATCTAATCTGGTTCTTGCTTTTCATTTTCTATATTGCCATGTCGGTGCTTTAATATTTAGTTGCAAAGGTTAGCGAATTTATTTTCCTGAATTTATTGGATTCTCTTATGAGTACACTGCTCAAGCAACCAAACAAATCCCTCCTTGAGTCATATGTTAATTAATAATTATTTTTTTGCTTATATGCTAAAATTTTTGGCTCTTTGTGTTTTGGTTGATAATTTTAAGTTTGTTTTCTTTTGTAATGTAAAAATAGTTGGACATGTATTGAAACTTATTTTGAAATTTCTTGTATACTTTCATTTGTCAAATCAATACTTAAAACGAAGAATAAAAAATAAGATTCCATTTTCCACATCATGAAAGAATTATAACTAAAATAATGTGTTGATTTTCCTCTAATGGTAATCCTTCCACTGTTGTTTTAATTTCAGTTGAAAATGGTATTTTATGATTATTAGGGTTTTATGATTTTAGTTGAAGATAATATTTTATGATTGTCAGGATATATTTTTGGCAATTAGATGTATACGTTTTTTTTCCTTCTCATTATTCCTTAAACTATAACTAAAATAATGTGTTGATTTTCCTCTAATGGTAATCCTTCCACTGTTGTTTTAATTTCAGTTGAAAATAATATTTTATGATTATTAGGGTTTTATGATTTTAGTTGAAGATGATATTTTATGATTGTTAGGATTAGAATTAAACATGTTGGACTTTTGATAGCCAATACATTTGGGTGATAATGTTAGAACGATTTTAAATAAGTTATATAGACACCTCAGTGATAGCTCGACCCGAAAACAACTTGAGGCCACGAGAAACAACTTAATTGAGTTAAGTGGTAATTATATAAAATCAGGTGTTTAAAGATTGGTTTTTAAAAACCAGGTCTAACTTTTATTTATTCAAAAACAAGGTATTTTATTTTAAATATCAAACATTAAATCTATCAAAACCCTAAACTAATTCATTTCTCTCAATTCTCTCATCGTCTCTCCACAACGGCGATTCATCCACCGCCCACCGCCTCCACCTCTCGCCGTTCATATCTCTTATCTCAAACCTCCGCCGCCACCGTCCGTCTCTACACCATCCCTCTTCGACACTGCTTTCGTCCGTCTCTGTACTTTTTTTATAGCGGTGGGGTGGCGTTGCAATGGGTGTGCGATGGAGGTACTGTGGGTGTGCGTTACGGGACTATATCTGTGTGGTGGTCTTTCGATGCGGTGCTGTAGGGTGCGGTTGCGGTGGTCCCTCTTCGATGCTGCTTTCGTCCGTCTCTGTACTTTTTTTTCTTTTTTATTCTTGAGTGGTACGGTGGTGGTGCAGTGGGTGGCGGTGGCGGTGGCGGTGGAGGAGCTGTGGGTGTGCTTGCGAGGCTGTGTGTACGCAGTGGTCTTTCGATGCGGTGCTGTGGGGTGCGGTTCAGGTGGAGGTGCTGTGGGGATGCGGTGGAGGTGTTGTGAGGTAACGCCTCG